TAAATGAGTGAGGTCATGTGGTGTTTCTCTTTCATTGATTGGCTTATTTCACTCAGCATGATGGAATAGGGTATTTTTGCAATTAGAAAAATTAGGGACGAATCCCTCATTTTGCATACATTTTCCATAGTAGGCGCTTAATGCCTTTGCTTCTTTAAAACATAACCTGGTTTGCTACATCCTGGCTGACACACCGCGTTGATGGAATATCACTGCTCCACAAAGTGGGTGACAGCTGCGCGGACAAGCTGTGCTTGTGCCTGCCAGTCAGTTGTAGAGAGAACATCGCTCTATGTAGGCACATAGTCCTCACAATCTTTCTTTTTCTCTTTCTTTACTTTTTTGCAAGATGTAGATAACAGAAAATTTACAGTCTGCATCTTCTCTTTTAAATACAAAAATCAATAGCAGGCCCCATAAGAGAGGTTTGATGGTTTGTGTTCCTCGGTATTTCAGACTGGAAAATGCCGAGGTTTCGTCTTCTGTTTGGTTCTGTTTTAAGCGTGTTCAGGATGCAAGTGTGGGAGGTCACTATGCTGGGGGTTCTAACATAGGCACGAGTGGTGTGCTGGCCAGACAGGTAAGGCTCGTTTATCTGTAGGAGCTTCAATTGTGTGTGAAGGCTCTTTGCAGGGAAGGTTTGTGGAGAAGGTTGAGGCTATGAGGGGTGGAGAGTGAGGGGTGAATGTCTCTGATGCTGGCAGCCGGCTGGTCCCCTGGAGTCATACCTGAGCCCTGGAGAGAGCAGGGAGGGGAAGAAAGGGAAAGGGAGGGGATGGGAGGGAAGGAGAAGGGAAGCAGGACCTGTTGTCATGGACTCCCCGTGCTCAGGTGGCTATGTGGACACAGAGTCTGAAACAGGGCTGTCCTCCTTCTTTCTTCATAACTACCAAAATTCTTAACTTCAGAGACCAACTCTGCTTAACGGACAAGGAATGAACTGAAAAGCTGTCCTGTGGTTCAGGAATACCAGGGGCCTTGGGAAGCAGGCTGGGCAGGCCAGGAACGAGGGAGGCCAGGCAGCTGCGGGGCCCCTGCCCCCATCTTGCAAGTGAGACGTGGCCATCACAGGTAGTACAGCAACTACTGCTCCCGGAAACCGAACATTGCTGTGGTTGCCGCTGTCACTGCTGTGGGCCAGTAGCTGCCGATTAAAAAAGCTGGGCTGGGAGCATCTGATTGGTTAAACCTCCATCACACACTTGCACTTTAACTGCAAAGGAGGCTGGAAGGGAGCTGGGTAAAGGGGAAGCTAGGGAAGGAACTCCTGGATATCCTCTTTGGTGGGCAAATACATTATCTTGATTGTTTAAGCTATCTTAAGAGGGTTTTATTTTATAGCTGAAAACACCTCAACAGGCACAAGAGTATACATTACTCTTGTATTCAGAAAAGTAATACTTTTTTTTTTTTTTAAATGCCAAGGTATTGGGGATTCTGACCTTGGCTTCCTGAAGCCACAGAAACAATTTTCTTCCTCAAATCCATTCCTTTGATATTTACTTTTATCTATTCATTGATATTCAGTTTGTTATCTCCTGCCTCATATTACTCGTGGTTATGTAATTTGTACTGTATTCTCTCCCTGTCAAGACCATGTGGCACAGTGGCCATGACTCCAGCATTTACACAAACCTTGACATTTGCGCTAGGCTTTCTCATAAGACCACAGTGGTTGATATATTTAACTTCTTCCCAGACAGGAGCCTTTGTGAAAAGTAAGTACACAAGCCTCTCTTGGAGAGGGCCGTCTAATGTCTCATCAATATAGGCAAGGCAACATTACCTTCTAAAGAAAAGCCTACAGTGCCAAAGAGACTGGGTTATTCTTGGGAAAGGGCAGTGAGGCCAAACGCTGGCACAGTTGGACGAGTGGGCTCTTCCTTCAAATTGGCCCGCCTGAAGCGGCTGAGGGACCTGAGTCAGGGCCACACACCATTGACCTCGTTCTGGCTGACCGTCTCCTTGGTAGCAGGGCAAACACCAGAACAGTCAAGTAAAAGGAGAGAGGGAAGTTTCCCTAACAGAAATGCATCAGGAGGGTGGGTTACCTGGCTCTGTGGGTGAACTCTGCGAGCTGGCATGAGTTCTGACCAGTCAACTCCTGGTTCCCAAAGGAAACCCTAGCGCAAAGGAATAATAGGAAACCTCTTTGGCATTGGTTGGCACAAACTTGTTGTCCTGGATGTTCAGGACTCTTTTATCCTAAAGGTAAGCAAGGAACATAAACAATTGTGAGGCATTAGAAGTGGGCTCTTTCAGCAACACAGATAAATAAGGGACTCAGTCACAACTGACATCTTGAGTGACAAAAGGTGAATTACAATCAGTAAGATGAGTATTTTGAAATTCTTTGGCACATAGGCTTAAAAAGGAGCATGTTTATCTTTACAAAAAAAAAAAAAATCATGGCAGGTACCAACAGATCATGATTTCTTAAGGTTCTTTTGTAGAGAAGGAGGCACTGTGAGAGGCAACTGTTTAGCAGGTACTTTGTAATGTACTGGTTCCACCAGCCAGGAGCTAATTGTCCCTGCAGCAGTGATTGTCAACATTGACTGTACATGAGAATTACCTGGGAAGCTGTTACATGTCCCCAACCCAGGCTGATGCACCAGAGGCCCCTGGGGAGAGCCAGGCCTCAGCGTTTCCTAAACTTCTCCCGGTGATGCCACTGTGCGCCCTCAGTTGAAAACCAGTTGACCCTGGAGTGGAACTTGCTTTCACCCTCCTCAGCCCTTGGATTCTCCCAGGGCACAGAGGCTTCTGATGTGCCAATATGAGGACCCATTAGCATATGAGAAAGCCACTGACAGGCATGTTAAAGGCTTGAACAGGCCTGTTAGCATACAATATTTTTAACTTGCTCTTAGGTCAGCCCTGCTGAAGCCTCAAAGTCCACCAACCTTTTGATGAACTTCTTGCATTTATAACCTGCTGGAATTAGCCCCCAACATCTTGGCTTATTACACCTCAGTCTGAAAGAAGCTATATAAATATTTTAGAATTTCGACAAATTTTTATATACAAGATGGTTTAAGGGAAAATAAAGGAGATGATAAAAATCCTTACTAACAAATTTTACAATAATGCAAAGCTGCAATTTTTGTTTTCTTGCTGGCCTTAGAGTATTTAACTAGTGGCAGTAAAGGTTATTCTTTACCTTTCACGTAATCTGCATAGATAGTAGAAATTTCAGGTCTCACCAGAATAACTTCTCTGCATTGTGTGTGTTTATCTCCTTCCGAAGTAATAATTTTGGTTTTAAAAAATAATATTTATATGTCCTTACCTTGAATACGGGATAAAACATTCTGGTTAAAGTGAGACCACATATACAATGGTGGTCCTATGAGATTATAATGGAGCTGAAAAATTCCTACTGCCCAGGGACCTCGCAGCACAGCCATGGTGATGTCAGGACGTCACAATGCAAAGCATTCCTCACCTGTTGTGTTCATGTTGGTGTAAATAAACCTGCCACACTGCCAGTCATGTAAAAATATAGCATATACAATCATGTACGGTACCTACCAGTTGATAATGATAAACACTATGTTATTGGTTTATGTATTATACTAATAGAGGTCTGGTGCATGAATTCGTGCACTGGTGGGTTCCTTCGGCCTGGCCTGTGATTGAGGCCTATTGAAGGGCTGGCTTGCCGGGGGAGGGACCCCAGGAGGTTGGCCGGCTGGTTGGAGGGCCGGCTGGCTGTGGGAGAGCAGTGATCACCAGGGGGCAGCTCTTGTGATGAGATGAGCGTCTGGCCAGTGTGCATCATCAACTGGTCATTCCTGCCGTTCCATTCGTTCGGTCATAACTGTCATACAGATCCCCCTTCTCTCTCCTGGTAAGCTATCTCTAACCTTCAATTTAATGGATTTATGTATCAGTAAACTGAAATGACATTTTAAAAAATGGTGTTTGATTCTTCCTGATGTCCTTAGAGTTCAGAAACAAATACTTTTCAGTGACTCTTCTTACTTTTCATGACAAAATAGTTATTAGCATAGATTCAATAAAAATCTGTCCTTTTTACCAAGATATAATTAGTCAAATAGATTGTTCAAACAAAGCCATACCCAGAGGGCTGTATTTGAGAACAATGGTCTTAGTCAGGTATAAGAAGTCCATATTGAGGAACAAAGGGTTCACTTCATCTGTGGAGTTAGTGCCAACAAAACCCTCCCCCAAAACTGGCCCGGTGCCAGCCTCTAGGTCCTGATCTGACTGATGGTGAGGAAGGTCACTTCTGGAAAGCTGAGAATCTTAGCAAATTTTGCAGACCTCAAGAAGGGAGAAATTGCTGAAACCAGTTTGGCTCAGTGGATAGAGCATCGGTCTGCGGACTGAAAGGTCCCAGGTTCGATTCTGGTCAAGGGCATGTACATTGGTTGCGGGCATATCCCTGGTGGGGGGTGTTCAGGAAGCAGCTGGTCGAAGTTTCTCTCTCATTGATGTTTCTAACTCTCTATCCCTCTCTCTTCCTCCCTGTAAAAAAAAAAAAATCAATAAAATATATTGGGGGGGGGAGTGATACTGTAGGTGAAATCTGGTGGAAATATTTTCTTGGGCTTAGTCCCATGGCTTTGGGATAAGGGAGCAAATAATTGAGGCTGTTAAAAGTCTAAGACCCCTTACGAAAGTTTCTGAAGAGAGGGTAATTTTTTGGCTTAATTAATTTCTCAGTAATCTAAGGCTCTAGTTTTGAAGAGAAAACTTGAGGCCTACCTATGTGATTAAAATGCTGTGTGTGTGTAAATAATCAGGGCAAACCTAACAAGATCAGTCTTCTTGTGATCAAGAAAAAAATATTTTAAGTATCCTTCTAGAAATGACAATCAATAAATCTTTGTTGACTGACTTATATTCAACTTATTTTAATTATCTTTGACCTAAAGGAGTGCCCTGGAAGGACAGACAGGTTAGATTAAAAATCTTAAAGAATCCCTTAATAACCTTATATAATTAAAAAAAAAAACAACTAGCATGCAAACTAACAGAAAATGTACTTTATTTACTTACAACATCTTGTAAACAATCACACTGTGCACTTTTAATTCAATAATAATGTTTTTTCCCATGGATTTATAGCAAACTCTATATAAATTCAATGAGTTAATACAAGAGTACAGATGAATATGGTAGAATAATTTCTGAAAATGTTAAATTACAGCACTTGACCAAAGACATAACTATCTGTACCATAAAAATTTACATGCCACAAAACATTAATTTATAATTTTAAATATGCCATAAAACATTTATAAAAAGCATTAACATTAATTTTATTATAAACCAGTGAATTACTCAGAAGAATATTTATTAAAACTTAGTAGAAATCAGTAAATATTGCAGCTGAGGTAAAAACTTATAAGTAAACAAAACTATCATTTATAAGGGCCAAAAAGTAAATGGAAGGGCACACAATACTTTCTGACGACTGTGTCTACTCCTTGATGTTTTGAAGCAGCTTCAGCAGATGTGACTCAATAACCTGTTGAACTGGAAGAGATAGGTGATCAAGACCATAGCATGTTGATTTAACATTTTTTAAAAGAATTATCAAATTCAACTTAACATCCCAAACTTTTTCCTAAAATAAAGTTATTTCTAAGTAGTTACTTAAATACACTTAACATTTAGTTTCACTGACTTAGTGATTGCCCAAATCACTGAATTTTTCAGTTCTTGGTTTTTAAATTTTGAAACCGAAGGAGAATTCAGAAATAAGGTTGTTCTGAGGAACAGAAAAAGGCAACTATAAGAGCATTTTATAGTTTGCTATAAAAATATCAAACACATCTTGCAAATAGGTGTGTCCTTATCTTCCAGCAGCTAATTATTTGGGTTGGTAAAAAAAAAAATAATAGTAACAAGTTCATTTCTAGACTCTGTAGGGATTTGTTGATTTCGGCCACAGTTAAAAGTACATGTCAGTAGTCAGGTAACATTCAGTGTTCTACAACTGCAGCGATGAAAATGGTGTGTGGTATTTACAGAGCTTTACTAAAATGGAAGCTTAGCATTCTAAAATACTTACCACTTCTATACCCCAGGGCTACAGCCAAGTCCATAGAATTATATCCAGAGTCGGTTTCTATTGTTGGGTCAGCTCCATTTTCTACACCAAAATAGAAAAATCTACTTAAATGAAAATGTGGATATGTTTATCTATTACTGACTCACGTGCAAATAGCAAGACAGATTTTCAGCAAATTTAGAAAGCATCTGTAGGATGGCCTGACAAAGACCATCATGGACTACACAGAATTCACTTTGGTGGGCTGAAGAGAAGACCCTTCAAACCAATGAGCATCCTCTGGAGCAGCAGAAACTCACCAACAACCAGAGACAGAACTTACGCACAAAGATTGTGCAGACAGAAAACAAGCATGGATTCACACGTGATTCCAGAGGAAAACAACCAGGACAGATGCTCCAATTGGGGCCTGCTGTGTGATGGAGCTGCCTCTCACACGGGCAACGCTCTGGTAGCAGGTGCACCACAGTGAACAGCAGCAGGATGACTGCACTTAACAGTAATTAATGATTTTCCTGAGTAACACCACAGGAGGCCAAGTCAGCCCTGGCTGAGTAGCTCAGGTTGGTTAGACTGAGCATTGTCCTGCTACACCAAGGTTGCAGGTTCAATCTTCGGTCAGGACACATATAAGAATCAATCAATGGATGCCTCAATAACTCAATAACTGGAACAACAAATCAATGTCTCTTTCTCTCTCTCCCCTTCCCCCCCCCCCCCTCCATCCTCTAAAAAACATTAAAAAGTAAAATAAAGTTCTCATGGCATTTTATATTTTCATTTTTATCTGCTTACCTAAGAGCATTTTTACACATTTCACATGATTTCCATGTACAGCATAAAGCAAAGGTGTGCCTCCATTCTACAAAAGAAAAAGGTGATTTCGTTTTCTAAGGTGAGCAAGATTTGAAGAATTTAATGCTGCTGTGAGAAGTTTTATGAAGCAATGGGCATGTAAATGTAGTTTAAGGTAATTTTAATATTTTGTGAAGAATACTTAAATCAGAATTAGCAACAGAATTTATGTTATTAACTTTTTCTTCCAGGTGTTTAATTAAGTTAATGAATTATTCTTCCAGGTATTTAATAAACTTTATTTGTCTCCCCAAACCATATAAATCCTAGTTTGTTATACTAATTTAAAAATCAGTGTTACAGACTCACCCAATCGTATTCATTTACATCAACTCCACACTCAAGCAGCATTTTGACAATATCTGTGTAGCCTTTACTGCACGCCAGAGACAGTGCACTTTCGCGACCTTTTCCTAAAAGCTGGGGATCAGCACCCTGGAGATACAAGACTCTTCAATTCATTTAAACAAGAATACGGTTGTTTCTGTCAATCATAATTACAGTTCAACACTTATGTCAGGTAATGTCCTGGGGTTAATAAAGAGAAAACGCAAACTTCTATTCATGGATGCTCTTGTTATCAAGGTTGCCCGGATGCTTCTATCTCAACCCTAACTATGCTTTCACCCTGGAGTCAAATGACATCTCGTCTATGAAACTTCTCCTACAGGCTGACAGTACTTTTGTTCCCCTTCCACTTAGAGGGGCAGGGCTTTAAGTGGTCTCTCCCTGTTTCATGTATGACTAGTCTTGCCTACCCAACTAGATCCAAGTTCCACAAGAATGTGATAAGCATTTAAAAACTGTTTGGATCCTCTACCATTATACCTAGTTGGCTGGAGATACCAAAACTTTACTAAAAACTTAACTGAATTTAAGTAACTGTATATATACATTTTCTGAGGCATTTTCCTTACATTCTGAAGTAGAAACTCTACCACAGCTATTTGCCCGTGTGCTGCAGCCCACATCAGAGGAGTAAATCCTTCTTCATCCGTGTGATTGATAACATTTTCTATTTAAAAGAAAAGCAATTTTTGTGATCTAATTTAACAACCACATATTAATATCACTATGAAAATACTGGCATTCTAAAAAGTTGGTTATGTTACTCAATGAGGATTACTTTGTGCTGATTTTTGTTCACTGAAATCCTGTTATATGTTGTTATAATTTGCACTCTGACTGTATTAAAATGTGCCTCCATGTATACAATATGTTATTTAAAGTATGACATATATACACGACATATATAATGTTAGGTACAAGGTAATCCACAGAACACTGGGCTGGTAATTAGGAGACCAGTTTGAATCCTCCCTGTGTCACTTTCTAAAAGTGTTATTCTGAGCATGTCACTTAATTTCTCCAATACACAGTCTAATACCTTACTTATCTCAATGTGTATATAATAGTCCTTAGCATTACATAAATATATACTATTATAAAAACTCCAAAATTGTATTAAAGCTATCTTCTAGTCTATAACTATCATTGCTGCATTTGAATTTCATTCATTCTTGGTGGTTTGCTAAAATAATATGTGAAGACTGAATACTGTGAAAGAGAGTACATGTAATTCTGCTTTGAAACCCCTTTTTCCACCTAGATTCAGCCTACTAGTTAAAAAGGCAAGTTTTCCCTCTAAATTTATTTAGTAGTTTGAGGATGAAATCTTCAAATATTTATAAACAAAGAGAAACATAATGATGAAGTAAGTCTTTCTTATAAACGATTGATGATTAAAAAATAAACATCTTTTATCATACACACTGTGTTAAATTGATAAAGTTGGGACAACTGTTTAACTTCTTGGAAAATGAAAATAAATGTAAAGCTTGATCTTTATCTCATTACACCAAAACATATTTCATATGTGTCAAAAATTGATATGTAAAGAGAAAACCACAGAAGTTCTAGATAAGACATGAATGAATTTATTTATAATTTTAGAGTACGAAATCCTTTCTAGCAGGACATAAAACTGAGAAGTCACAAGGAAAAAAATAAATTTACTGCTTAAAGAGTATTTTTATTCAAATGATAAGTGTTTGTTCAAAAAATATCAAAGTCAAAGAAAAAATGACAAACTGGAAAAATATGTAACATAAACAACAAAAAGCAAATTTCTTTAATTTTTATAAGGGTTCACAGAAATAAACACAAAAGAAAATTCAAATATGCCACAATTTAAAAAATATAAACAAAACCAATATGAGATGCTATTTTTTAAATTAATCTGATAATATCTTGTGTCAGCAAGGGTATGGGCAAATAGAAATTCCAACTCTGGTGTGAAGATAAGACAAACATATGGCAATAAATAGAAAAATTCATATACCTTTTAACCTAGCAAATATTCTTGAAATGTACCCATGGATATACTTAAAAAGAATGCCAATAACATTGTTACATAACAAACAGAATCAACCACCACCAGGGGGACTATTTAAAAAATGAAAAACAAGGAATATGTATATGCAATACAATGCAAAATCTGGACCCACAAAAAGAATAAAATAGATCTTATGTGCTTATATGGGAAGATTTCCAAAATTTTAAGTGACAAATAAATGACAGTATTTTTCCCTCTAGTATTAATAAGAAAAAGCACACACTCATTCTCACATACAAGTCCAAATATAAATGGAAATGCTTTTTAAAAGTATAAGAAAATTATATTTGCTTTTGGGGAAAAGGCCCGGTTGGTAAGAGAAGCTATAACTTTTATACATTAGAATACTTAAAAAAATATTACATGCCTGGTAAGATTACACACCATTTTTAAAAATATTTATACTTTCCTGTATAGAAATAAAAAATAACAACTCTAATAAATCCTATTAAATTTGTTTTAAATATATTTTAACAAATATGCTATTACCTTGTTCAATACGAGTAGCCAGGATGAGCATCTCTCCCTGAGCAGCTAACTGGTGAACAGATAAAGCTGAAACAATACCATAAAAAGCTTCATGTATAGATGTAGGGTACACTTTCATAATCTCATTGCTTATGTTTGTGCAGCAATTTTCTTTTCCACATCAAAATCTATCATTTTATTAATTTACCTTAAATTATATTTTAACCTAGCTGGTTTGGATCAGTGAATAGAGCGTCCAACTGAGGACCAAAGGGTCCCAGGTTGATTCCAGTCAAAGGCAAATACCTTGGTTGCAGGCTCCTCTCCTGCACAGGCCAGGGTCAGGGCTTGTGCAGGAGGCAACCTATTGATAGGTTTCTCTCTGTCTTTCCTTTCTCTTCCACTCTCCCTAAAAATCAATGGAAAAATATCCTCAGGTGAGGATTAATAAAATATACCCTAACACTGCAAGTAGTCATTCTGCATCTGAGAATTGACTCTTTTAAGATAATTCTGACATCTGCAAAGTGTTATTAATTATCAATAAATACACATATCGTTATCATTAATTATTAACAGTGCAGATTGTTACTGACTATATCAATCAAAGAAATGGCTTAGGCACTTAATTTTTTAAATGGCATCCCTTTTCCAAACTTATAAGTAAGTTGGATCACCGAAACTAGTTTGGCTCAGTGGATAGAGCGTCTACCTGCGGACTGAAAGGTCCCAAGTTCGATTCCCGTCAAGGGCATGTACCTTGGTTGCGGGCACATCCCCAGGAGGGGGTGTGCAAGAGACAGATGATCCATGTTTCTCTCTCATCAATGTTCCTAACTCTCTATCCTTCTCTTCCTCTCTGTAAAAAGTCAATAAAATATATTAAAAAAAAGAAAAGAAAGTTGGATCTAACAAAGACACACCTTTAGTCTTTTCATTGATTCAATCCACTGAAGTCCCAAACATCATTATTTCAAGACTCCATGGGTTTTTCTTAACTTTAGGAGTGAGGTGGTAAATGACAGCTGAACTTGGGAGTAAATTCTTGAGTGCAGACCTAGTTGTGGTGAATTTGGTATGTGTCTTTAGATAACTGATAAAAGTTTTGTCTGTAACATGAGGCACATGTAATTTTGAGCTCAAAAATTCTATGGTTGGAATATTTTAAGACAATCTCTTTATTTTAAACAAAATCAAGTAGGAGAGTTCATATTAAAAATTAGTATCACTCGACCTTGACTGCAGAGGTATGATTGGGTGACCTTAATACAGAAAGAAAGCAATTGGGAGGCACACGCAAGTAAAACAGAAATGGCCAATAGGTGGAGTAAGTCACATGCTACAGCATGCGATTCAAAATCAGGAGAAATCTAATATCGCCAAAGTAAAGATATATATGTTTTACCATACATTAGGATACAGATGCATTTACATTATATTCTCATATAGTTTCTAACATCAAATTGCTAACTGGTTTTCTCTCATTAATTTATCCATACTATACAGAATATAGTTTATATAGAAAAGCTTCATTTTATTTCTTCTAGAATAAATATACATTATTTTTTAAAAATTATGGATTCAAAGTACTTTTTAAAAGATAGTTTCATATTTACATTATTATATTCAAATGAAAAATTACAGTAGAAATCATTCAGCTTTTACTGCAAATAATTCATTGGTCAGTAATCTAGTTTACAAGCACAGTATGAAGCCTGGCACTCCAAAAACAAAAAAACAATCACAATATCTTACTTATACAAAGTTGAGACTAACTCATGTTTTTATAGTAGACTATAAAGGTTTTTAAGAATATTTTAATCTGTATTTGTTTTTAAACATAGAAACATAAATTATGAACTATTTGAATATGCAGTAATATGTGAAAAAGTTTTAAATTACTAAAACTATGAGCACATCACTTCAGCTTTCCAAAATGAAATATGCACTTAATGAAAATATGTTTCAAAGCCAAACTGTTGAAACCATTATATTAGGAACAAGAAGAGTTGAATACATCAGTGGGAACTACTTACAATTTGCTAACAGAGGTGTGGTTGAGACCTCATTTCCTCTGTGCTTGTTGGTTAAGGTGGTTGACTGTTTTATGGGTGAGAAGTGCTTTGTTGTAGAGGGAGTGTAGACATGCCTTACTTGGATTCCCGGGGAAGGAGATGTATGGATATTGCATTCAGCTAAGTAAAATAAATTTAAACACATTAAAACAATATTGAAATGACAAAGCATTTCTATAATAAGTTCTATGTCAATGTTTACATTAAAAATGAAAGACATGAAGTATATCTTCAACTGTTTCTCAAATGATATTAAATTATATTTGCTTCATAAAGTCTGTACTACAGAGTGAATGTTTCAGAAAAAATTTGTATTAATGTTGAGCAATTTATTCTTGGGATAGTGTTTTTATTCAATAGCTTGTTGTAAAGTAAATCTATAATATGATGAGAGATTTCACGGAATTAAAACACAGGAAGCTAATGCTAATCAAATATTCATGGAATAAGGAATATTAAGCTAATTCACTTATAAAATACACCAATAATATTTTTCTCCTATGATTTAAAAAGGAATAATAGGAACTTTATTAGATAATTTCTAAATAAACAAAGGTTAAGCAAGAAATTAAAAAAGTCATCATATACTTATGGACATTATACAACATGAAGTCATTTAATTTTGTGAGATTCTAGAAAATAATATTAAAAGATGACTTCCAAAATTTCTTCCTAAATTCAAAATCTCATGATCAGAAAGGAATGAAAAAACAAAAACAACACACTCTAAACAAACAGACACAAAACAAATGCAGATATTTATACCATAACTTTTAACCTTTAAATAGGACAGATGCCACCTCCAGGTCCGAGTTAACCTGATCTTGAATATTTTTACTATCCTCTTCATTTAAGGACTTCACAAATCGAGAACACACGTTCATATCAAATCGGTTAGGCAATATGAATTTCATCCCCATGGCAACGCCCTGAGCGGATGCTTCTTGTGCACTGGAGTCCAGCTGATGTTCTATTTTAATGTCTGGCATGCCAGCGAGGCTGTAACTGCTGGGACACTCTTCCACCATCAGCTGGGCTCCAACATCCAGATTTGCTGATGTGGCCATGATTTCAACTGTAGTTTCAATAATTAAAACATTTCTTCACAATTTCTCTTGGTTTTTAAAGAGTGTCATCCAGTGTATTCTTGAAATCTGGGTATAAAAAAACCTGAAAGAAATTAAAAGTCTTATATTAATTTAGGTAAAAGTGCATAAAATAATCATTTTCAATCAAGTATGCAAACAATACTCTTATAAACACCTATAAGAGAAAGCATACAATGTTCATAGGATATAAATCCAAGCTCTGCCATTTATTAGCTGAGTGAACCTGTACATTACTCAGCCTCTCGAAGTCTCAGCTTCACTTGTACAATAAAATGGAGATACCACCACTAACCTCACAGGATCCTGGAAGACCAAATGAAATAAGTAACATTTCACCTTCATCACTGAGTTCCAACAAATTTTAATTACTTTTCTCCCCTTTCCTATTCCTGAATATTGCCAAATGGATAAAAGATCAGGCTATAAGAAAAAATACTTTCATGTGAAAACTTTAACGTCTCATTTTAGGTTCATTTTTTAGCATTCTGTTTGTAAGTGGCCTCAATTTGAATTAAGGAGAGCATTTATGTTTGTACTCAAGTCTATTGGCATCTACGATTCCTGGATAGTGAAAGACTTTACAAAGCTTTGGTTATGATGAACTGAAGATATATTTCTTTATCAGTTTTTGTTCAAATCACATGTTACCAAATTAATATAGGTTTTTATGAAAATAAAGTGTGGAAGTTATAGATTGGCTTCCTTTGCTTTAGCATCTCTAGGACATGAGGGTCAAAGGAGAGTTTTTGGATCTCAATCTTTGCAGTAAGTATTAAGAATACTTTTTTTTTTTTTTTTCAAATATAGGTCATCAAGACATGAACTAAAAAAATGCTGACTCTCAATGCATAGATTATAATCACACCACTTACTATTATTTCAAAATTAGCTTTTAGTAATCATTGACACTTCCCTATGGACTTTAATATCATTTTAAGAGAAAATTCACTATTTTATTTAAAATTGGTTCTAAAAAAAAAGAATTCCAAGATATAGAACTGTTGCAGATTATAATCACTGAGACACAAAAACAATAACATCAAATAAATTATTTCATGTTAGATTTTCCTGCCTCTTAGAATTTTGAGAGGGTGCAGGGTGTTTAAAACGGAAGACTGCCTTAGGATCACAGTGAAGCAGAAGTTGGTAAACTATACATTTACTGATAAACATTCTCCAAGATTGATCCTTATAACAATCCATCGAGTAGTCAGGGCAAGTAGTCATTACATCCACCACAGAGAGGAATGATGAGGGACCTAGCCAGCTCTCCTGACTCCATCACACTGTCCATTAAAATAAAACAGCACTAAACTAATCCAAAACTTCCAAGACAGAAAGAGCTGAAGAAATAACACATTATAATAATAATAAAGAAAATAAAAAAAAGAAAGTAACAGATAACAAAGTCAGTGTCCTTCAGCAGAAGGAAACCAGAGCAGGAAATAAGAATGAATGGTGTTTCTTAGGTGAGAGCCAGCCCTACAGACTCTTACCCCAAGAGCAACTCCCCTGAGCTCCCTCAGCACCCTGCATGTATTTCTATGTTAGCATTTATCATTCTCTGGAAAATTTCCATTTCAACTCCCCCAAACTGAAAACGCCTCTAGGATGGGGACTACTCTGACTAATCTTTGCACACTAAACAGTGCTTGGTCCTATCAGGGACTCCATAACATCTTCATATTCTTTTCTATCCCGAAATGACCCTGCATTAGGCTCAACAAACACTTGCTGATGACATCTGGTGTTCCATTCCCAACATCACTACTAGCTCTAGCTGTACAACCCTGGACAGACAAATCATGCCAAGTCTTCTGAGGCTCGTTTTATTCGTCTGTAAAACAAAAATGGTTGAAATAAACAGGTCGAATAGCCTTTCTAGCTCTACACGCCTCCCATGTCATAAATCAGGGTTTATAGAAGCAACTGGGGCGTTGGAAGGGAGGAGTGTCAATGAACTTGGGGGAGGAAGGAGCAGAAATGGGACGCTTATCTTCGCACTGCTCTGGAGAGGAGAAGCAAAGTGGAATGGTTAGGCCAAAATTTTGAATTGTAGGAGGGGGAGAAAAAAAAAAAATGATCGGTAAGAGCAGGCGGTGAGAAAAACAGGTCAGGCCAAGGATAGCTGAGATCACCTCCATCTACCAGAGCGCAGGGAGGGAGGAAGGAAGGGAGGGAGAGGGAGCCTAACGCGATCAAGTGGGCGGCGGTACCGGTGCCCAGGGGACCGAACAACAGGTGCCCGGTTCTCCCCAATCCCGGCACCGCCCTACAAGGAAGGGCGAGCGCCGTGAAAACGAATGATGCCTCACAGGCGACAGGTGTCCCGGCGTCCCAGGACCGGAGCCCGCTACAGGGGAGACGGGTGGGGAGGGAAGCCCGCTCGGTCGCCCGCTCCGCCCGGGATCGGCCCGGGGGCGGGCGGGGCGCCCTGGCTCACCCGCGGCGGGCGGGTCCGGGGGACGCGGGCCCGGGGCCCGCGGGCTGGGAGCGCAGGGCCTCGCGACCACCTTCGACAGCCCACAGCGAGCGGGCGCCTTCCCATCTGCGGCCACAGGTTCCCTCCAGGCCCGCCAGCCCCGGCTTGTTTTGACCGCGACGTCACTTCCGCGATGTCTTCTTTCGCTTTTCTGGGCGAACACCGCGCCGCCGCAGCCAGGCGGCCGGGAGGCTCGCCAGGTCGGTCCTCTCCCGCCGCCGCGCCGCGCGGGGCCCCGGGCGCTACAGGGTCAGAGTCATCCCAGGGGGACACTCTGAGTGACAGGAGCAGAGACCAGTCTCCCCCTTGGGCCACGCCCCTCCAGAAAGCCCCGCCCACACTCACGCCCCGCCCACCTTACCCGCCCCGCCCCCGCGACACCCGCGCGCGGCGAGAGTCCGCGGAGCCCGAGCAGTTACGTCATCAACAGGCGACGGGCCCGGCCTTTCCATTCTCCGGGTGCCTGGGTGACTTCTGAGGGCCCATGTGGCCGGTTCCTGGTGATTCTGGGCTGTCCGGGGAGGGGTCTGGCGGGGTCCGGGAAAGTCTCCTGAAGTCCGGGCGTTTCGGCGGACCCTCGGGGCCCATCGGAGGTAGGTAAAGGCGGCTCCCGATGAGGGTAGCTCAGACCCACGCCGGCTCTGCCTTGTTATCTGGCATGCTCCTCTCTGGGCTCCCCAGTCTCCTCCGCTGGTTACCTCCTAACCAGCCCAGGAGGATCCCCTCAATTTCTCTTGGACACAGATTGTGTCCTTTACGATCACATCCCCATTGCACTGCCCGCTGTGACTCGTCCCCGGAGTAATCCGCATCTTCTAATCGCAAGTCTGTGCTTAGGAGGTACCCTCGGTTTCTAATACTCCCTCCTCCGTCCAGTCTGGTTTAATATCATCTAGTCATTCAAAGCCCAGCGGAAACGCACACTTTGGATCTTTCTGGGAGCCACCCAGATTTCACATCACTTATGGCCTTTGCACTGCGTCATGGTCCCTCCTCCTTCTCCCCTCCTGTCAATGCTGTTCTCACTAATCAGGCAAACCACTGCTCCTGCTCCTCAGTTTCCCTTCTTAATGTTAAACTCTTTCTCTCAGGGCAGTTATGTGCTCTTTTGCTTATACTCTAGTACGGGGCAAAGTCCTGCAGGCTAGATTAGGCCAGGTGCTTGTTTTTGGGTAGTTAGTGAGCCAAGCATGATTTTTGCAGATGAACATTTGCAGTCTGTTTGATGATAGGAAACACTGACTTTGAAACTGGAGTGAGTGAAATAATCTCCTCCCTCCTCCAAATCATTTTCATTCAGAAATTTTAAAAAAAATTGTAGTCATCACTATTTTGGGTGTTTCATTGGAAATTTTCTTTCTTACTATATAAGTAACTACACGAATACCCTCTGTTTTCCTGTTGGCCCACAAAGCCTGAAATATTTATCACCTGGCCCTTTACAGAAAAAGTTTGTCCCCTCCTATAACAACGTTCATCTTATAGTTCCATTTGTGATTTTAATTTTGTGTTTTCCCATGGAACCCAGCACAACGCATCCTTTCCTTTATTCTACAAACGTTCTTTGTAGTTCAATATCTCTGATGGCCATTTGGAAGATGGACGAGGGAGTTAGGAGGACCTGATGTTGCATTATAAGTAGATGAGAAGATCTGAATTAGGGCAGTGGAACTAGGTGGAGTGAATGTGATGAAGTTTAATTTGGGAGGTAAAGTCAGCAGATCTTTTTGGATCTTAGAAGTGAGAAGGAAGAGACAAGTTAAGACTGATTCCAGATTCCTAGCTGGTGCAAATCACAAGCTGAAATGGAGAATATTCAAGTGTGAGGGTACACACCACGTCTTTCAATCATCCTTGTATCCCTAGTGCCTAGAACAGTGTCTTATACATGGTAAGTACTTGAATGAACAGAAAAGTTTCCCCCCTTTTTAATCACATTACCATGTTTCATCAAAACAGCCTTTAACATGTTACACTTAGAGATTTTGGTGTAACTACTGCACTATATTCGGGCTTTCTGGGATAGTTGATGCGAAGTACCATTGGAATCATTCACCTCTTGCAAATTGAATAGTCTGGAAAGACATTTGGCCTTAATTACATGTCAGTTGTAAATTTCATTCTGTTCTCTCACTTTAATTTGGATTTAATTCCAGAATTGCTTTATTCTTGTTTTCTTATTGTTTAAGCCATCTTAAAAATTAATTAATTTAATTTTGAGTTTCTACATCAGAATATTATCTTCTTGATTTATTTTCTTTTAAGACTTTAAATTTAATTTTAAGCTCCCACATTAGAATGTTAGTTTTGTTTTCCTTTGTTGGATTTTAGGCTTTCAGGAAGTCAATCCCTGGCTTATTAAAGATTAAATTTTATCCTAATTTAATTCCAGGCAACTTTTACATTTGCAGTTCACCTTCAGTAAATGAACATTCTAAGCCATAATGTTTCTCTCTGCTTTGGCTACTGGATGGCTAAACTAGATTTATTCCCAAGTGTTATAAATTGGTCAGTTAGGTATGAGGATATTTGTAAGTAGCCTCTGTGTATAGCTGAGTTGGATAGTGCAATATGGTAGCCCTATCTGTATTCTTCCTTCTTCCTTTAGCTTATTTTTCTGTGTTATAAAATGGTCTACTGATCACTAAACTTCTACACAGCCTTTTGAAAGGATGCAGAATGAAAATTACAGCTATTTATACACACAGGTTTATGAGTAACATGTACATAAAATATTTTCTTTTTCAGACATAAGGCAGAGTCACTAAAATTATTTCTAACATCAGTTTCAGACTACTTTTGGATAAAAGTAATTGTATGAAATTATGGCTGGTTATAAGCCTGTAGCTATTCAGACATATCCTATACTTGGTGAAAAAATCACCCAGGATACACTGTACTGGAACAACTATAAGGTAAGTATTTATGCCAATTTCTCCAGCATGTGTTATACTTTGGATACTTTAGTTAAGCATTAATAACTAAAAACAGTATCAGTAGCTAATAGTTTGGGCAGAAAATTTGATATTAGATATTTTCTTGGGATTTTATGTAAATTGCTGCCTAATCATTTTAATCATACAAGTGCCTAGTACAAAATAGATGATTAATCAGTGACAATTGAATTAAATTTTAGAATTTGAATCTCATATGCAAGAAGTTTTTTTTTTTTTTTTGCTTTAATCTAAAGGAGGAAGTGATGTAAAATTAATTCTTCTTGATTATAAAGACTTAAATAGATATTATCAGTTTTAACTCTGTGAATACTGAATACTGTAATTGTTAATACTCTGTATTATTTTTTTATTAAGACCCCTGTTCAGATCAAGGAGTTTGGTGCAGTGTCAAAAGTAGACTTTTCTCCGCAGCCTCCATATAATTACGCTGTCACAGCTTCTTCAAGGGTAAATATAACATTGCATTTATTTTTCTATTTATAGTTTATATTTACTACTAATTGTGAGCCATCTGGTAAAATACCATGTTTTTTTTTCTTGTAGATTCACATTTATGGGCGATACTCCCAGGAACCTATAAAAACGTTTTCCCGATTTAAAGACACAGCTTACTGCGCTACTTATCGGCAGGATGGTAGATTGCTTGTGGCTGGCAGTGAAGATGGTGGAGTTCAGCTTTTTGATATAACGGGGAGGGCTCCCCTCCGGCAGTTTGAAGGCCATACTAAGTAAGAGACAGTTAAAAAAATCTTTTTTAATTGAGGTATAATTTACAAACAACATTATATTTGATATTTGTATATATTGCAAAATTGTCACAAGGCTAATTCATTTTTTTTTACCATACAGTTTTAGACAGGTGCTTTTTATGTGTTCTTTTTTTTTTGTAAATTCTGTTTTCTGGGCTTTGAATAAAAACACAGAGATATGTATCTTTAAATACTTTATTTCTTGGTTGTTGTAAAATAGTCTGTTTCCTGGTTCAGTCCTAAGGTGAAGTTTGATGGGGCTTATGAATTCCCTAGAATCAATCATATGTGACATTTTAGGAAATGGATGTTTATCTAGGGAGACATTCTATAGTGTTCATTAACTTCTCATGAGATCCGTAACCCAGTTGTGATTATAAACCACTGATAGAAAGGCAGCCTCACAACTATTAATGAGAACTTTATAAGCCTGAACTGTGTTAGATGTTCTCATTTTGAAGTTATGTTGGAAGGTGGGTTTTCTTTCTTCTTGGATTTAGTATTTTGCCTCTTGATCAATTGAATTGTCAAGGCAATTTTATATTATAACTTTATTTCAGGATTACCAATGTCATTTCTATAATTTGTTATCAATTTAAAATCTTAAGAGTGTTTTTCTTTTCTTTTTGTACTAAAGGCCCAGTGCACAGATTTGTGCATTGGTGGAGTCCCTTGGCCTGGCCTGCGGGGATCAGGCTGGAACCTGCTCTCTGACATCCCATGAGGGGTCCCAGATTGTGAGCGGGTGCAGGCCACACCGAGGGACACCACTGGTGCATCAGGCCTCTAGTATGCATATAATGTCCTTAGTTAATCTCTTCCCATTCTCCCTCCTCCTCCCCTTTTCCCTCTGAGATTCATCAGTCTGTTCCATGTGTCCATACTGTGGTTTCTGCTCCTGCTTTTGTGTTGAGCGTCTGCCCCCTAGTGGTCAGTGCTACTGGTTGGATGGTTGGCTGGTTGCTTAGGGTTTTATATATATATAGAGAGAGAGATTATCAGAATGGTCTTATCCCATCAGTGAAACATTTAAAATATAACAGAAACTTACTTAACATGATCCTATTTAGTGGCAGATTTTCTTAGAATTTTTTAAGGAACTACCCATTTTGAAATTGTTTAAATTAAAGTACCTGTGTACCAACATTTAGAATATTTTACTTTCATTGAGCAGCTAAGTAGAATTGTTAACATATTAGAAAATATAATTTTATGGCTATTGTTTAATATTTTTATTAACTTCATAGTACATGGGTATTTAAAATTTGAAGTTAGCTTGAGGACAAACACCTGTTTTAAAGATTTTTTTCTCTCTTATGATTTCACCCTGCAATTACACCCTGAAACATTTGCGGGAAAGAAGTGTTTTATGTTAGAAGGTGTCAGAACTATCATTTTTTATTGCTTTTTAATGAACTAACTGATCCTTTATCTTTCAGAGCAGTCCATACAGTAGATTTTACAGCTGACAAATATCATGTGGTCTCTGGGGCTGATGATTATACAGTTAAATTATGGGATATTCCAAACTCCAAAGAAATTCTGACTTTCAAAGAACATTCTGATTATGTGAGGTGTGGATGTGCTA